GTTGTACGAACCTCACGCCGACCAGGATCACGGTACGGACATTGTTACCATTCTTAGCAGTTCGGATGAAGTCAAACGCTCTGAAAATGGCATTAATGTTTCCAAGAATGTCTTCATATCCCCGAAGATAAAAACATGTTTTAGACTGGGTAAATTCAAATGCGGTTCTAGGGGAACGTCTTCCGACGTAAGGCAGAACCCATGCTAATTTTAAGGTACTTATTTCAAATGAAATAAAGGAAGCCATGGTGCAGAACGCGAAGAAAGAGCAGAAATGAAAAATTCAATTAAAAAAAAATAAGACTTTCAAAAAGTAGCAAGGAAGGGGTTTGTACGAGATGGTCTCATTGTGAGTGTCTCTCATTCAGGCGTACTATTTTTCTCGTCATGTTAGTAGCAATAACAAGGACGGCATAACACGGCTATTTTGAGGGTCTGTGTCGGCTTGTTTTGGAGTTCTTAATAAACCTTGTTCGGGCAGCTCTTCACCCTGGTATGAATGTATCGCAAACAAAAGAGTCTCGCCAAGGAGGCATTCATTTTTGCTGTTGGGGAGGAACCGTCAGTAGCTATGAATTTGAAGAATCTTCGAAATGACTCGTTTTTTCCAAGAGATTCGCTTCAAAATTATTGGTTATTCAAGGACTATTCAAGGACACTTATGGAAAGAATGCAGCATTAGTAACCCAAGGCTATTTTTTTCAATTTCCTAAAATGACTTACTCATTTATCGTGGCGTTCGTCTGAGGCTGAAGCGAAAGCAGAACATTGAAAGCAGAGAGTGAGACATTGAGATCGGATTCCCTATACAGTGGACATTTTATTCCATTCAACTCCATTCCATTTAATGATGATGAGTATAATTTACAGCTCCTTTTTTATTTCAACCCCGACGCTATCGCTTGTGTCACTGAAATTCTATACGCTTCACGGTGAAGCCCTAACCTCTGAAGAAGACGATTACGTCGAAACGTCAAGCCGTTGATTTATCAAAAAATCCTGGAAACCTTAAATGGCAGAAGGATTCTAACGATACAGGTGACGATATACAATGAGATTACTGTTGAATCCCATGTCAATTAATTTTTATGGGCTATTCATTCGAATCAGCTTTTGCGACAAATAAAGAAGCAATCGTGTGCTGGATTGCTGCAGCATCCAAAGCCGTAGTACTAAAATTCCCGAAAATTGTCCAGAGAAGTTTTTTAATTGTACGGGTCAACAATGCCTGAACTTCTGTGGGATCAGCATATTGTTAGATAAGAAAATTTCCAGTATGTCAACGAAAGAATGGAACAGACCTTAATTTGCCGTACGTATTTTGAGGATTATAAAATTCCGTGTTGGGGTACGGTACCAAAATGTAGGCGCTCGGCGCTTCTTGGTCATTTCCAACTGGCGAAAAGCTAGAAGGTAATAAATGAACATGCTGCTGTCAAAAATTCGGGAAACCTATTACAAATCCGATATTCTGAAGAAAACAGGTCTGCCACAAGTAGAATAGTGCTTTTGTGTCTTTTCATTTTAGACCGCGATTAATTTTAGGGATCCTTCCGTTCCATTGTGCTATGGGGTGGAAGCTGGTCTTTTCCCATCAGACCGTGACAGAAAGGGGTTCATGACTGTCTAGAAGTCTGAAAAAAATTCAGTGCACACAAAATAACGAACCTGTATGGGTTGCCTTTGTAGGTCAGTAGTGTTGTGACAAAAGATTCGACGTCCTAAACAGTAACAATGATAAAAATGAAAGTCTAATGAGGGGATGTATTCTCGGAAGGAGTTGATTAACGCTCTGAAACTTTGTACTATCTTTCCTTTCAAGCTTTATACTATCCACTGATACGATTGGTTCCACTATTGTAAGATTTGATGCAATCCTAATTGAACTCACAGCATAATTTGTGTTGGTCGTTAGTTCGAAGGCGACAGCAAGATCTCCTTTGTATTTTCTTTCTCCTAAGCAAGGTGCCGTAGTGACCCATGTAGATGATGTTGCTGACGACGTCAAGATGTCAGGAGTAAAGGTTGAGGTTGTGGGTAGCGACGGTGTTCTTGTCAATGGAGACGTAGGGATGACTGATGGAGAAGATGGGGGAGTAGTCGAGAACGATGAGGAGGAATACGTCGATGACGTGACAGCTGTCCAGGATGCTGAGTGATCAGTTGTGGTTGTCAGATGAGATGTAGGTAAAAGGGGAGTCGATGAAGATGTGAAAGCGGGAGTTAAGGTTTTCGATGAAGTGCTTAACGTCGGCGTTGTTGTAGATACGAAAGGAGATGTCGTTTGAAGCTTTGGTGTTGAAGGATGCAAGGTAGATGGTGGACTTGAAGATGTCAAGGGTGTTGAATGACCAGGTGTAGTTGTTAGATAAGATGATGTTGATAGTGAAGTTGGTGAAAAAGTGGAGATGTGACTGAAGGCATTTGACGAAGTGCTCAACATTGGCGTTTCTGTGGGGACGGAAGAAGTTGTTCGGGGCCTTGATGTTGTAGGAAGCAGAGTAGATTGTTGACTGGACGTTCCGGGTACTATAGCAGATGTGAAGCTTTGCGTGAAGATTGGTGTCGTCTCCATGCTTGAACTGGTATGTGAGGTTGTGTTAAATTCAGTGGCTTGAGAGCTTGTTGACTGTGTACGCAAAAGAGTTGAAGACGCTGCGGGCTGAGTGGATGGAAGTGATTGGGACGAGGTTGACGTCACTGTAGAAGTTGATTTAGAATGATATGCACTTGTAGAGGAACCATGAGAAGGAGTAGCACTTGGAGACGTT